CTAGGTGCGCCGCAGTGTCCTAGGAAAGCGCCCTAGGAAAGGCGCAGGGTCGGCGAAGACTGAAACGCCGTCGCAAAGCGTGAGCCTACCAATTTAACCTAGAACACAACAGCCAAACAAAGCAAAAGTGTAACAGGAAGGCCGATGTGTAACAGGAAGCTAGAGTATTTAGAAGGGCGCGTTCAGCTAGGGTGTGTCGAGCTTGGTCGGTAGCTTTCTACGGGAGAGCGTTGAAATTGAGAGGATATATTAAATGAAAAGCCAAAACTGCTATAGCCCAGCCTACAAACAGTAAAGCCTTTAACTCAAACCAATTGAACAAAGTTCATGTCTGGCGGGCATGGGTTGCCTTACTTGCCCCAGCCTCAGTTTCCACCATCAGCCCAATTCGGGCGTAAATTGCAATATGAAGCAGGGCGACTTCCTCGAGGCGAAGCGGCAACGTCCATTACACTGGGCAAGCCTTGTCCAAGAAAAGCAGGCGCAAAAAACCAGGGTGTGAAGGAACCCCCTTTGCCCGACGATGTCTGCAGTGCTTGCAACGCCCCCTGTCCTTGACCGTGCCGCTGCCGACATTATCCTGCCCTCGGTGGATAGCTGCCATGTTGAGCCTTCGGGCATCACTTTGCAGAAGTTCATCGATCGCAGCCGCAAGGGCTGTGCTGCGGTCGCTGCCCTCCTGCGTGGCCCTACGCTTGCGGCTTTTAATTCGGTCACCAACATCGTTCGCAGCCTCCAGACGCCGCCCAGTGGGCCAAGCAGCGGGGCGGTCGCAAGCGGCGTTGAGGGCTTGAGCATGTCGACCTCACTAAGCCGTTACACCTTGCCTCCTGCTTCCGCTGCATTCGATGCTTTGGCCTTAGTCTGTGCTACTCCTATAAAGTGCATGGAGATCTGCGGACCATGCAGTATCAGGCCGTGCCTGGTCTCATGGTCCGCCGTTCCTGCCACTGCGCACGCCCTCCCTGTAGAAGCCTTGGTAGGTTGTGCCATTGCGGTGGGCGCCGGGCTCACTGCGGCATTAAACTATACCTCCTTAGGCCGTCCAAATGGTGAGTTGTGCGCTACGGTTGTAGAGCCTTGCAGTACCAAGCCCCGCTTGGTCTCTTGGCGTCTCGTTGCCGTGCCTCAACCCGTAGGGGCATCGCTCTCTCCTCCTTTGCGTCTCCGGTTGCCTCTGGACATCAGCAGCGAGTGACAACAACCTCCGTGCGCAGTGCGGTTTCAATCCTCTATTTCTGACAAAACCTACCTTCCCACTTTGCAATCTTTCAATGTGCATTCTGGCAGGAAAGCCATGGGGGCCGCGTCTGGCCTGTTCCCACGGTGTCTCCCTGTCGCAATTTTCTACTTTGACTAGGGCGCCACAACTTGATTGGCAACTCTTTGGCCACTCCGTGTGGTCGGAGGCCCACGCTGTCCTTGCTCTGCGGACTCGTGTGTTCCTCTGGCCCTTTGCTTGCCTTGCCACATCTTTCGCGATCTTCATTGTGGCGCTGTGCGTACATCGCTGTGATGATACATGATGTATGCGCATGTGGACTGCGCAGGGCCGCCCTCGGCGGCGCCAGGAGATGCCTGTGCGCTGCGATATTTCATGCATGTCTCGTTTTTCCTTGCTACTTACTGTGGCTCTTTTGCCCGTGAGAAATTTTTAATTCCTCTCGATGTTTTGCTTGGCGGACTTTTCGCGCCTCAATTGCGCATTTTGCTCTCTCTGCATGGCCATTCATGGGGGTTAACGATGCGGAAATGTGCCCCCGGCGGATTGGAGCGCGCATTTGATGACTTTTAAGCCTGCCTCTTCAATAGCTGATTGGACTCAATGAAGTTCAGTTCATGCATTTTGGAGCTGTTGCTCTAGTTGTCGATCCCCATGTGGGCGAAATGATTGACTGTTTGTTGTGTTGTCTGTTCTCTGGTTCGTTGCTTGGTGCGTTGTTTCTGCGTTTTCTTTGTTGTTTTGGTTATGGTCGTTTCGTTCGCGTGGCATCTTCTGTGTCTCACGTCCGTCTCACTTCATTATTTGATGTACCTTAGGTTTCGTGACCGATGGCAATTGCCCCAAGGCGCGCAGGTGACAAAAAAAACCTTTTGTCAAAAACGGCAATCGTGGCTGTAAGAGCAGTGCCCGCAGCATCTGATGCGAGGGGCTCGAGTGAATCGAACGAACCCCGGACTGGTAAACCCGCGTTTGCTACGCCTAGCCAGGGTAGAGTTCTTGGAAAGAGCACACTTCCACTCTTTCCGTGCGACGAATGATGAGGGTTTTGCAACCCCTGGATTTTTTGCACCTCGGGGGCGAAAAAGAACAGCTTACTCAGAGCTGGAGGCCTTGCCCTGCCGGGCGGCGCCTTTCAACCTGAGCACCTGCGCAGCCCTTTTCTCCTGAGGGTCGGTTTAGGGCAAGGCGCGCAAATTCTAGCTCAACAAATTCTAGCCCAAGCGCCCATTCAGAACGACTCAACAATGCTAGGAAGTAGCAGCCTTAGCTTGTCCCTCCGCTAGCGGTTGGATCGCCGTGAGGCAGCCATTGCGCATGGCAGGCTGGGCAAAGCCAGCCTAGTTTCACGTAGACTCTGACACGCATGCACTGCCGCATTAGCGTGGTGCAGTATTGTCGTATCGGTTCGAGCCATGGACATATCTGCCATCTGTTTGTCGTAGTTGACGTTTCCCTGCGCGGGCGTGTCAGCGCAACTCAGATTTCAGACACGGATCCCAACAAACTGGTTTGTAGCGTGTGCATTTTCCGAAAATGGAACCGTGGTTTGAACGATGCTCTTGGCAAATTGGTGGAAATGTTGTAGCGAATCATGGAGATCAATTCACAGGACATGGGTAAACATATCATGAATGTCATGTGGAAACCAAGAACATGTGAGTCTCTATTGAATGTTGGTTGTCACATTCCAAAACATGCTGGCCATTGCACTCGGCATTTTTAGCTTTGAGTGATGTGTTTGGACCGCTGATGTCAACTTTGGCCAGCATAGCGTTGTTGACGCGGACATTGTTGCGTGGGGGTTTGACGTGAGGAAGTGTTCGCCTGTGTCCGCCAAACAAATACATGATGCTTGCGGCAACCAGTTGGGAGGGAAGATTGTTTGTGACGCGCATTGCATACAATTTACATGGCTGCAACATGTGTTATTGATGTCATTCACGAAACTATCCTTCTGTGCCGTTGTGTTCAAAGGAATCACCGTGCCAGTGCAAACCACATTGCAAGATAGCTTATCCGTTTCGCGAAGATGCCGGCCAACTCGGAGAAGCAGCACTTGTCGATTGTGATTTGTGGTCATGTCGACAGCGGCAAGAGCACCACCACGGGACGCCTGATTTTTGAGTTGGGTGGCCTGCCCGAGCGCGAGCTCGAGAAGCTGAAGGCGGAGGCCGATCGATTGGGCAAGGGCTCTTTCGCTTTTGCCTTCTTTATGGACAGGCAGAAAGAGGAACGCGAGCGCGGTGTGACCATCTCTTGCACCACCAAAGAGTTCTTCACAGAGAAGTGGCACTACACTATCATTGATGCCCCTGGTCATCGTGACTTCATTAAGAACATGATCACGGGCGCCTCCCAAGCAGATGTGGCACTGATCATGGTGCCCGCAGATGGCAACTTCACAACTGCCATCGCAAAGGGAAATCACAAGGCCGGTGAGATTCAAGGTCAGACTCGACAGCACTCTCGACTGATCAACTTGCTGGGTGTGAAACAGATTTGCATTGGAGTGAACAAGATGGACTGCGACACCGCGGGCTACAAGCAGGCCAGGTATGATGAGATCGCCAATGAGATGAAGAGCATGTTGGTGAAGGTGGGATGGAAGAAGGACTTCATTGAGAAGAACACACCTGTCATGCCGATTTCTGGCTGGATGGGTGACAACCTCCTGAAGAAGTCCGACAACATGGCGTGGTGGAAGGGTCAGGACGTGGAGGTTGGCAGCGAGACTATCCATGTGGACACAGTCTACGATGTGCTCGACAAAATGTGCCGAGTGCCTGAGCGTCCCGTGAGTGCCCCAATGCGCATGCCCATTTCTGGAATCTACAAGATCAAGGGCGTGGGTGATGTGCTGGCCGGACGTGTTGAGCAGGGTGTGGTGAAACCTGGTGAGGAGGTTGTGTTTTTGCCAACTCACACAGCCTCCAACCCTTGCACCGGCAAGGTTTTCACAGTGGAGATGCACCACCAGCGAGTGGATTTTGCAAACCCCGGCGACAACGTGGGTTTGAACATCAAGGGCCTGGACAAGAACAACATGCCCCGCTCCGGAGATGTGATGGTCTACAAGAAAGATACCACCTTGGGCCAGACCAAGGAGTTCGACGCGCAGATCCAGGTGCTGGACATCCCCAATGAGATCAAGGTGGGCTACTCGCCAATTGGTTTTGTGCGCTGCGGCCGTGCCGCGTGCCGCGTCTCGGCCCTCAAGTGGAAGATGGGCAAGGAGACAGGCGGCAAGAAGATGGAGGACCCTCACTCTTTGAAGTCCAACGAGATGGCGCAGTGCAGCTTCCAGCCCCAGCAGCCTTTGGTGTGCGACACCTTCAAGAACTGCGAAGGCCTCTCCCGCGTTGCCTTCATGGATGGCAACGGCGTGGTGATGCTGGGCAAGGTGGTCAGCTGCGAGCGCAAGGGCGAGGACGACAAGGGTGGCAAGAAGAAGTGAACAGCATGGTGTGAGACCTTCGGACTATTGTGTGGCACGGTAGAAAAAACAACAACAACAAATGATATCAACTGTGATCGGCACAAGCTGTAATCAGCCTTGATTGCAATTGAGTTGCAGGAAAGCCCTCTGGGGTGAGCTGCATAGATGTGCTCCTGCCATGATGTTAGTTCTCTCAAGTCTATGAAATCGTGTCAGTCATTTCATTCCATTGATAGAGCTTCAACTTATCACACTGTGCGCTCCATGCCAGCAATGATTGTGAGTGTCAGCAATGTCAAACTATGCTTGCTAGGTTTGCACATGCACAAGCAGTGTTCACAATATACCATCGGCCTCCAGCTTGTGCTTCAATGCCGGCTTTACAAGCGATTGTTGGCATCTTGGAATCTGCGTTTGAACTTGCAATCGGCTTGAGTTCGCTCAGAAGCTCTGATCTTAGGATGGCACAAGCTTCGTGATGTTGCAGTCTACTTCTTTGAAGAGGTGCGCTTGCGAGAGGTCCTCGACGCACGCGTGATTCATCCTGTGTGCTGTCAGTTTGTTGGAACAGAAGTGTGCCAAGAGTTTAATGTGACAGAAACACAGTTTGACAGAGACCGAGAGACACAAGAACAGAGAGAGAGAGAGAGAGAAAGAAAGAGAGAGAGAGAGAGAGAGAGAGATGGAGAGATGGAGACATGGAGAGATGGAGAGATGGAGGGATGCAGAGACAGAGACACACAGACAGAGAGACATATATATATATATATATACACATGTGTATAGAGAAAGGGAGCGGGACGAGAAAGAAAGAGAGAGAGAGAGAGAGAGAGAAAGAGAGAGTGAGAGAGACAAGGAGAAGCAGACAGAGAGAGAGAGAGAAGAGATAGAGGCAAAGAGAGGCAGACAGAGAGAGAGAGAGAGGAGAGGCAGACAGAGAGAGAAAGAGAGAGAGAGAGAGGGTGAGAGAGACGAAGATAGAAAAACAGAGAGACAGAGAGACGGACAAATGCGCACCACGGGCGCAGTGGGGAGCCCACACACACACACACAACACACAGTGTGTACAGGCGCATGAGCAATGGTGTGGGGCACTGTCAGTTATTGATAGAGACCATGAGGTTGCCATGGCCCCTCTCACTATGGCTACGACATGAACACAAGTACAAATCAGCACATATAGAGTGTGATGCTGGTTCCTTGGTGCATTGTGTTCAGAGAGCTGAAGCGGAGCTGAAGACGGCTTAGATAGCCAAAATTAGCTACAACATGAGCTTCACGATAGTACTGATGGTACTACGAGGAAATCTTTAAGCCGGCAGCCGCACGCCACCCCAACCCAGAACACCAAACTGAATTACTCGCGCTGACCAAGAAAAGGGCTAGATGTAAGGTGGATTTCAGCACCTGAAGCCAGTGCTTGAAGGCTAATGTTTGTTGCCAGGGCCGGCGATGCACTTCCTCGACATGCCAGTGGCTGAGATCATCGGCAGTTCGGACAGTCCCCAGTGACCGCTATCAGTCGACTGCCAAGGCCTACAGCCAGAACTGCTTGGCTGGAAAGAACACACCGCCAATTCTTCAAGCAGCGGTCCACCTTTGCATGTTCGCATCGAATTGCTGTTATGCGTTCAGAGCGCCAGGCAGTCAATCCAAACAAGAAACTGCTGTTGCTGACAGCTGTTGATGAGGAGAGGTGGTCCAGGAATGAGTTGAAGCACGCAGAATCCTGAACATTGCGAGTTGTGGCAGGACAGCAAGCCTTCTGCGAGTGCAGAGGCTGTGCACAGGCTTCGGGTTCTGGTTGCAACCGAAGAGTTTGACAGGCTCCTCCACTTTGGGCGGTAGCCAACATCAACGTGGCAGCAGCCAGCGACTTACTTAAAGCACATACACATGAGGTCACTTGGTTGGATGGTACGCCATGGTCTAATCCTAATTCATCAGGATACCGCCGAAGTTGCTTGTTTCCCCTATCGGACGTGGAACAAACAGTGAGTGCCCAGTGAGGCCCCCCGGGTCCCTCCCGTCAGGTTGTTGCTGCAGGCAATCAATTGCAAGTCAAAAACAGTATGGAAGGCCAACCAGCTGCACAAAGCGAGAGGAGATGTTGCTGGCATCCCAGAATCTAGCACGCAACAATTCAGTAAAGTCCACCGTACTTTGACGCAACCTTGAGGTTGTGCCCTACCAGGGCCCAGACATTAAGGATGACTACATCCATCGCATTTTCTTTAGAGTGTACGAGCAGCCTCGACAGGTGCCTAATGTCACAGTACGAAATGTTGGCTTGTCCTGAGCCAGGTACCTCGGCACCTCTTGAGCGACTGGGGCCAGCTGAGGTCTTGGATGCAAAGCAATAGGCTCTTGGGTGAGGCGGGGGGAAAACGCGAGAAGTGGCAACAAGAGTTGCGCACGAGAGTCCGCTGCATTTGCAGGCAGCTCGCCGAGGAGGTGGGATGTCAGAATTCCTCCTGACTGCAGTCCAGCACTTGGACCACCATTTTTTTGCACATAGAAGTGGGTGAGACTTCTAAGGTTAGGAAGCGGCCAAATGCCCGTTTCCCCAGAGCGCAAACAGAAATGACAGCTTTGCAAGATACTGTGCAACTAAGGTTACAGCTTTTCAAGATCCTTTCGTCAGGGCCTTGTGCTGCTACTCAGTCTTTCCTTTGCTTCTTGAACTGCGCTGCGCAATGCTTTCAAAGCGCAGCAGAATCTCAGCCTCCAAAGAGAGCAGACGATCCAGGAACGCCTGTTCTATTTATAGTTTCACACAAAACGCAAACGCAACACGCAACGCCACCTATGCCCGCAGGTCACCACCATAATCAGCCTGGAGGGGATGCACCTCGAGGGGTGCTATGCACTACCGCTTGCTGGCAATCACACCATCTCCCCATTTCGCCATAAAGCTTGCACGATACTGAGACACCAAGATGCGATGCTGGGATGCTGCAATGTGAGCTTGCAGCCAGAATCACATTCGCATGGGGTAACTCTGCTTACCGCTGGAAATGGGCCTCGTCCTGAGTGCTGCACCTCACAACATCTGGGTTCTGAGAGCTACGCTCGACCAGCATTAGACAATTTCCAACCCCCAAGACAAAATCCGGCTGATATTAAACCAACATGTGTCCAGCCGCTGGACCCAAACTACAATCAGGGCTTTGTTCGCGTTCCCCAAACAATGTTTTCCTGCCGGCTATCCATCTCCAATGCTATCTCTTAGGACTTGTTACTATCTATTTGTCGAACAATCGATTTGTCTAGCACGCTAGTTGGAAAGTTAATTGTTTGGCTATTTGCAGTGTCTGGCCATTTGTCCGCTTACCCATGCATTTGTCTAGCTATCCATCCGGAATTTCTATCTTTGTCTAACAAATCACCTGAGCCGGGGAAAAATTCAAACAACAACGTTGTATGTGTCAATGTAAGGCATGATCCCGGTTGTTTTGGACGTATCAAATCAGCTGCACCGCCGCTTGTAATTTGAAGGGCAGGAGTGTGTTGCAGGAGCGGCCGCGCAAGTCAAACATGTGGCTGCGCAAGTAACGCAGTGATTCATCATCATCATCGTCATCATCATCATCATCATCATCATCATCATCATCATCATCATCATCACCATGGCCCAAAGCTTAATAAGTTTTCGCGCAAGTCCCGCGCGAGTCGCGCGCAGCCCGCAGATGCCCCCAAACTGCTTGGAGCCATTTCTATGTTTTTCATTTTCTTTCTTTGTAGCTATGAGTTTTTTCAGCGACCTACCTACTGCCGTTTATTTGTCTAGCCATCTGTCCAGCTGTCTGGTTTGACTATTATTGACCAGTTGCTCAAGAGGGTGGTTCATTTGGTTGAAACCACCACAAAACGCAACCCCCAAAAAGACTCCCATCAGTTCGACTATCTTGTTGTTGCTTGTTCATTTGTCTAGCGAGCTATTTGTAGAAAGCCAGTTGTTTGGCTATCCACTTGCTGCTATCTATTTGTCGAAGCCATTTGTGTAGAGAGCTATTTGTTTGGCTGTCTACTTGTTTCTATCTACTTGTCTAGTTCTCCATCTCTCTAGTGTCTAGCTAGCTGCTAGTTATCCTAAATGGTATTATACCTCGCCAAAAAGTCATATCCTAGCTCCATGCATCTAGCTGTCTGTTTGTTTAGCACTGATGATTTTGTCTAGCTACCGGTTGGTGTGATTGTGGTGAAACTCGCAAACCCGTTGCAAGCTCGCTCCCAGCCAGCATCGCGACACCTGCCAAAGAGCTGATTCTATGCAGGCCCGCGCCTATTCCAGTTCCCTCCTTTTCCAGCTTGCTTGTTAGCTTTGTTACGTTCCGCAGAAGTTCTTGCCAAACTTTCTTTGATGATTGGAGGGGTACGGAACTGTGTCGTTGCTTCACTCAGCAGGGCAGAAACCGGTTAGAGCCATTTGCAAGCAATTCGTCAGGGCTTCACGAAACAATCAAATAATCAATGGGCGAACAACGAAAAACGCATTCGAGCCGTCAAACATACAAGGAGCCTGTTTCAGAAAGCACGCTTGGTTCATCAAAATAGGCCTGTTGTGACACTTGTGTGCCAAAGACAAACCCTAGCATGCATTTTGGATAAAATCCGTCACAGAACTTGTAAAGCTTGGGAGAGGTGACATAGTTTGCCGGTGCAGGCAGCATGATTTAGAACTTTTTTCCAGAGACATCCCAAAAGCTAATTGCTTTTGGAGCAAGTAGGTCAAAACGAAACAGATTTGCGATTTGTTGTTTTCTGTAGGGTACGCTGTTGAAATAGTTTGGATGAATGGTTTTTCAGACGGCGCATGTCTTCATTTGGTTGCGACTCACCACCAGAACATTCCGTGGTCTGTTTAAGAAACCCTTGGTATCTGTCGCCAACCCTGCGCGTTAACGTTTGGAACGGGGTTTTGGAGAAGTTGCAAAAACTGTGCGATCCAGTTGCGCAAGTGACGGCCATTCTCTTTGAGCTGTGCAACGGTGGATAACTTCTGGATGTAGCCAGGCTGTACCCTTACCCTTGCCACGCTTGCGCCCCAGACCAAGCCTGCAAAACACAGTGTGGAGCGGGCTGCGCAGGTCGCCAGCGGAAGTGCGACACCCGGGATATCGCCAGCGGAAGTGCATTGAACAGTTCACAAGGAGCAACACATGGTGATACCAGATGCTAGGCATCGCCCAGCAGATTTCCTTGGCACCAGGCATGGCGCTGAGGTTTGTTGAGTCGAGAATGCAAGGGGTGCACCTTTGCAATGCTTTAAGGCCGCCTTTGATGGAGAGCAAAATATGCTGGAGGGCAGTCTGCTTTGCAGATGTAGTACTTGTCTTTCCATTTTGGCAGCTTCGCTGCCATGTTCTTGGCTCAGCAACTGCCTTCTAGGCAGCATACAAGGCATTAACGACCACATTGGCCTTGGCTGGCTCATCACACAAACCCGGTACACTTTTGCCCACATGTGACCGTCACCAATGACGGTGCATTCCACAGCGGTAGACGGCTTATTGACTTATCATTCACTTGACTCTTGATATATTTTGAGTGCACTATGTTTGTTCATGTTGTTAGTATCATAAAGCCACAACATGTGGCAACCACCAACTTCTGCATTGTACTCTGCGGCGGCCTGTCTAGTTTCTCGGGCAGACACGGGTGAGGTGCTTATCTCATTTTGAGACGTAGAGCATTGAGCAGCTTCACAAAAGGGATACCAAAAGCTAGCAATCTGAGGCTATGTCGATTGACATACAGAAGCGGATCAAGGTGCGATGCTTCAGGTCCAGATAGGAATTTGTTGGCACTTCTGAGAGGCAAGCCGGGAGGAATGTTGGAACTTGAAGAAGTACTATGTCTCTCTGCCGGCACATTGGGCTGCCTAGGACAACGCTACAAGCGTGTCTGACTTCTTCTCGGACCTGTACAAATGGACGGAGGACTTTGAAGACTTTGGCGGTTTTGATTTTGGAACGTTTGGTTTGCGAGGATCAGGCCAAAGAAGAGCGCCGGCGAGAAATCCGAAAGACAGCCCAACAGCTTGGAGTGCCTGAGGCACAGAAGCTTGTGGCCAGAGTCTGAGCCCAACTAAGATTGTGATCAGTTGTGTGCGCCGGTGGTTTACAAGCTTAGGCAGCAAAGACTGCCACACAGAATGGACAAAGTGATGCCACTGAGAGGCGCACTGGGCTCGGCGCGCTCAAACTGTAAATAACATGCAGGCAATTTCCCAGTGAGATCCACTCAAAGCAGCCAAGTGTCGACTTTCCCATCCTGGTCCGCTTTCTGCGGCAGTTGTGTAGCGTGCCTGTAGGAAACACCAACATTTTTACGATGGAATCAGAGCAGGCGGACCAGATTGCACTGACCTTCATAGAATAATCAGACACAAGCTGACTTGCGGCTCCGCTTCTTGTTCAGGTACAGGTAATACCAGGATACTCAGCATCTACAAGTAACCTTTGCATCCTCAGAATGTCTGCTATCCTCAGCAGCTCTCAACATCCGCATCTTCCAGCATCCCAAATCCACCGTATGCTAATCTCAGAGCTTTTGAGTAAACTGCCATCCGCACCCTAAACCAGTCCAACACTATCCCTAAAACGACTCCAAGTCGAGTAAGGCTGCATGCTAACCCGAAACCCACCATAAACCCACCTAAAACCAAGCCCAAAGTAACCCAAGAGTTATCCCCCTTGTGTTTCGGAGCCTCAGTGACGCGTTCTGTAACAAACTAATGCAGGTACATCTTGTTTTGGCCATCCGACTGTGCTGTGGAGTAAGAAGTAAACTGAAGTACGCTCCCAGCAGACAAAAATGACCTAAGCACCTGAGAACAAAAGAACTCTGCCCAAAGACTAAAATGAGCTTGCTGTAGCGAGATGAGCCACTCGCCGGCCCAAACACGTGCGTGCCTCCAACCACCAAAGCGACGCACAGGGGTGAAATGCTCATCGGTGACCCAACCACCTCAGACCCATGTGCGTTGGGATTTGCTGGCTTGAAATATTGCGTGTCTTCAATTCCAGAAACATCAACGGAGAACTGGAATTGAATCACTCCGCCAGCGAGGCGAGGAATGTTTGTTTTGATATCATTGAGCTTTCGAGGACGGAACCCATCCGCCGTGACTGTACTGCCATGGCCCAGTGCGCGTGTTGGGTTATCGAGCCGAGCATGCATCAGGGCAATGCTTCCTCGAGGTATTACAATGATTGGGATCAATATGATCCTGATCAGGAAGTGCAGAAGATAGAAGAAGAGGCAGCTATACCTCATTCGAGCATATGCTCTTTGCAAAATTGGGCATCCTTTGGATGACGCATCATGACCCTTGCAGGCTTTTCAGAAGCAACGAACAGAGAGGGAGATGCGGCAGGCAAATGCTGCCAATTCTGGTTACCAGACTCAGCTGGTTACCAGACTCAGCATGCAGCCATTATTTGCTTCATTGGTGCATGCCGATGGACTGGATTGTTGAAGCCAGGCAGACCAAGATCGGATTCTAGATGAAATGGCATCGGCCACAGATGTTGGCATTCTTTTTGTTCGGAAGTGTTCCAACCCAAACGAAGCCACACAGGCCTTGAAGCCTGACGGAGACAGAAGCCGAACTTCAGCAGCCAAGCCCCGTGTCAAGGCAGGCTGCAACTTTTTTGGAAAGGAATTGCAGCTCGCGCTGGCAAAGGTGTCGGTTCGGCGCAGTGGTCGCAAAGTTGCTCCTGTGGACCTAGCTGCGCCTCGCAAAGACGAGGCACCCTCTAGCACCGCAGTGGGTTTGCATCACGAATTGCGTAGCGTAGGCCAATCGCCTCTTCAGTGCAGGTCGCTACAGAGAGGCAGACACAATTCATGGCAGCCATCAGAGTGAATTGGCAAGACAGCAAGTCGCAGGCGATTGCGGCATATACGGCTGCTTTGGATTGTTTGGATAAATACGAGCCGCCGGAAGCAGGTGCACTTGACAGTGGTTGCCTTAGTTGCAGAAGCATTGCTTACATGGGTACTCAGCAACACAGGCAACAAGCAAGACGATTGTGCTGGGGAAGAGCAAGAAGCAATTGCCTTGAAGGTGCGGAACAAATCGCCGGTTGTTTGCACTGTCCGCAGTTTCCAAGACCATTCGCGCTAGGTGGCCCTTCTGGCAAATCGTTCTTTGGCTTGTCTGAAGCTGGAGGACACAATGTTCGTTTGGGTTCTGATGCACCGGCATCTTGGTGGCTGCTTTGGCTCGGCTCTGGAGATAATCTCAACTGCTTGGCAGGCACCAGTAGACAGTTTGTTGGCAAGCGTCTCAATCATTGACGCCTTTCTGCCGTATTACCACCAGGATTCCACCTGCCTATCTTGTTCACAACTCCTGCAGAGTTAGGGCTCCTTGATGGCTTATGCATGACTTACGCTTGGTAATCGTACAAATGCCACGCAGCTGTTTGAGCCTTTGGCGACTTGGTATGCGTGCACATGCCTGCAAAGCAGACAGCATGTCAGTTCAGACCAGCATCGAAAGTCTCAAAACCCCGTTTGCACCTGTAACATGTTTTCAAACAACAGCTTGCAAAGAGCACAGCTAGTTGTGAACTTTGATATTTGCCTTGCCATTTTGAGCATTAGAGAAAGCTGGATCCTCGGACGATGGATGCCGAGTGCACTCACAAGTGTGCTCAGCTATCTCAGCCTAAGGCGCACATACGCATGAGGCGGCTGTTTCTTTCGCACCTTGGATTCGTGCACAAGACCTTGTTTTCGCGGACTCTTGCAATGTAGCTTGCCATAGCTAAGGCAAGTTTGTGCTCAGTACCTAGCCTCACTCGCACGCTGCCCAGAGAAGCAGATCAAGATGGCGCTTTGCTGCACAGGTCTTGATCATAAGACTGAACAAGGCGCAGGACTGGGTGGTGTGATAGAGAGTGGAGGATTGAACGCTTGAACAGCAGCTGCAGGACTTCTGCACGCCGCAAAATTTGGGTCCGTGGCTTTAGCTGCGCGGCTGAAATCGGCTCAGACCTGAATTCTTAGGTCGGTTTGCAGGCTATCCGCTGCAGCTCGATTCCACGATATATTGGCAGAGTGCTCAGCTCGTGCAAGAGTCTGCCAGCCTTGCATCCGCGCACACAATCCAAAGGTTCGGACCAGAGGATCAAGCAGAAAAGGCTCGACTTTGACTGACTTGCATTCGTAGCCTGGCGAAAGGAGACGGAGCTGGGTACCCGTGTTAAAAAGTCATATTACAAGATCTTTCCAAACATTAATACATGCTACTTTGCGAGTATACTTAGCAGACAGACTGGAAACGCGTGTGATTTTAATGCAACAATGTATATAACGCCTCCAACACTGCTACAGCCCTTTGCGCTCAGATTGCCTTTATTAGTAGAAGGGGGTGACGGCGGACAGGCGACTGGATCGCCGTCTCAGCTGCTGGCCAAGACATAATTGCTGCTGCAGGTGCCTGCTGCGTAAATTAGCATGAACTCAGGTTCTATGATCCGACCAAGCCTACCATGTTGTACTTCCACGGCTGGACTGGGCAAGGCGGTGCTTGTATTTTAAGCTATGCAGCTGTGCAGTACAGAGTATGCGCTGACAGAAGGCAACGGATGGACCAGCCAATGCAAAAGGCTCACCACGAGATGTTTCGAGCTTACAGGCTTACTCCAAGTTGTGAGACTTTGAGACTTAGCCCAGGCCATCCTGACATTTGCCCAGATGGCGGTGGTCAGTTGCTGGTGAATGACTGGCTGGATGAAGGCCAGCACTGGTTCCAGCGACAACGGACACCAGCACCGCACAGGTTGGAATGTTGGTTTCTTCTACTGGGATCAGTTTGCCGACGAGGAGCCGCCTTGGATGGGTCACCGTCTATTTGTTGGGTGATTGTTTGCAGGCATAGTTGTTGGTTCTTGTTTTGTGCGATTTCGGGTAGCAGTTGATGTCGATGTTCTCAACGACTCAACGACTGGAGGCTTTTCCGAATCGCTTGATTGGGGGTTGGGGGGTTGACACGTTTGAGCTGTTGCGCCGAGCTTCAAACAGCTCCCCATGCGAGGCTGCAATAAAAAGTCATTTGGCAATGTGCTAAAATACGCACAGCACGACTGCCGAAAAAGGAACCAACAAATGGCGCTAGCACCTTGAACAGGTTGCATCCTTTCACACATTGTGTGCCGGGGAATGGTTCGCAATACATAAGACTTTGACACGCTTTGCAATTGAGACTTCGCATGCGTGTTTTCACAACCCTTTCCCCCATTGAAAGGGACACCTCAAGGAGACCGACCATTTGTTTAGCTTCCTTCGTCTTGCGGCGCCAGATTACATAGCTTACAACTTTCTCGCATTGCATTCTCTTTCTTGGTTTCGCCTGCATTCAGTCACTAGTGCTTAGTGTTCCTGTGCTGTGAAGTGCTTCTATTTGATGCGAGTGAAGGTTTCTCTATTGATCTGTTATGTGACAGTAGCCACCTGTCTTTGCCGTCTTCCTTAGTTTTGGAAAGACTTGCAAGGATTGATTTGCAATTATTCAAGCTGTCGCGGCTGGGCGTGCAAGACATTACGGAGTCAAGACCATGTTCACAGCGTGGTGCAAGCCAGCTAGGTCGTTCACGGCATCATCCTTCATACTGCGGGCTCAACTACGCAATTTCTTGTTCTTTTATGATGTCACACAAGCAATACAGTGATGATTTCATGTGCACACATGAAGAGGCCAGCGACAGGGAGGGACGCATCCACTCGACAAAGCATGCTGGGGTTGTTCACTGGTGAATTTTTGAAGTTCGGCATTGTCTGAGCAGGAATGCGCTCGCGATGCAGAGCAGAAGCTTTGGTGCGGTGCACAGAATAGATGCGACAGGATGTGCTTGGTTGCTGGACACTCCCGTTTGTGAACTTGGTGCCTTCAATAGAAGTTGCCGTGGGGGTTTGGGACATGTTGGCCGCAGGTTTGATCGCAGAGGAGACGGTTTCCGATGGAAATCCTATGACGTAGCCACAGGCAACGCGAGCTTGGGGTCGTTTTTATGAATTCAGAACCTGCCATCCGCCAGGAAGAGCAGAGTATCGAAACTATGATGAGGATGATAAATCCACTCAGAAGCCAAACATGTGAGACACTGCCGCACGAGGACTTGGATGAGCTTTCAGTTTCTGACATGTGTGTCTGAAACTCAATGCATTGTCTCGCGAATGTAGCATTGCCATGCCAGCAAGCATCGTCATTGCTTCTGTGCTGGAGGTTAACCATGTCAAGAAGGCCTTGAGCTCGTTCAAGGGCCAGCAGGTGTGACGTGCTGAGCGAGCACCCATCGATTGAATTGCAGAGCTGTACATCCTGTTGCCGAGTTGCCAAGGAGATTTGTGGGTCATTCGCTGGGTGCGCAACTTGCTGTTCGCTGTGCCTCGCTGTTGCATGTGGAGGCCAGCTGTCAACGGGACACGTTTAATGTACATGGCTACTTTCACATGGTCAAGGACCATCCAGCAGCCCCCCAGAGACTGGCGCTGCAAGAGACTCAGAACTCAAAGCTTGCAAAGCCAGAGTGACTCGATTGCATGCGCTCATGACCATGCACATCCGACAAGGCTTGAACCCTACTTTAGCAAGCACAGTTGGCTCCTTGGGTTTTTCCCGGTTGAATGCAAATGATCGTCCACCCTTTCATCCTAGGCCATATGTACTTCTTTGGATGCCATGCAGAAGTTACCACAGACGAAGGGATGGGTGCCCCTGGCTTGCCTTGCAATGTCAGAGCTGAATTAGTTGGCAGGTGATTTTGCTGCAAAAAGTACGGTAGAGTTTGTGCAGCAGATGTGGAAGAGCCAGAGCCTTTTGCAGATGCAACTCATGGCTTGGGCGCTTGTACGCTATGTGAGGCAAGAGAGTAGTGACAGAGATCTACAAGTCATCCTTGCTCACAGAGGCGCTGTTCGCGCCGCAATCGCAGAACCATGTATAAATTGAGCGCTTTGATGCAGAAGTCGGCTGAAGACTCGCCGTACAGCGAGCTCAAGAATATCGTGGGAGCCTTGCTTCCTTTGTCCCTTCACTTACTGTTGTCCATGCTCACTTCCTTTTCTTTCGTTTCGCTGTGGTATGCTTGGTGAATAAAAGCAATCAATTCGGGACATCTCACAAGTCGTACTTGTGAGTGGTGACCTAGCGTTTTTTTTTTTTTTTTTTTTTTTTTTTTTTTTTTTTTTTTTTTTTTCTGATATGCTCATGAAATGCCCTATCAATACCACAGGTCGAGAACGGAGCTGTCAGCGGCTTTGAGCACACACTTGTAGGCGGGATGATCTTGGCACAGCGTGTTATGTTGACCTTTCATTGTCGAGTGCATGAGATTCCTTGGGTTGCAATTGACTCTGTCACTTGGTAGTTCCCTCGTGTTGGTTGAGGCAACCTGGCATCCGGCATGCGGGAGGAGGACCTGGAGAGGCCGGTAGTTTGTTTGGCTGGTTGGTTGCTTGGTTGCTTGGTGCGTGCTTGCTTGCTTGCTTGGTTGGTTGGTTGGTTGGTTGGTTGCAGGTCCGGCACGCTCGTCAAGTTCGAGCCAGATTGGTGTGAAGGTACTTCGTCGTATTCCAAAGCTGGCAGTCAGATGGCTGCAGAGTCGCATAATTTCTGCGTTCGATTGCTGTTTATTTGCCAGGTGTTGCCTCCAACACCATGGGAGATGTGGAGCATGTCGGGTGCAGGCGCGTGGGCTGTTGCAATTCTGCTAGTCCACGCAAGCATGAGCTTGCGTCGCTTGGAGGCACTGCGCCGTGATGCCTATGTACTTGCTGCAGTGCTGGCATGTTTTTTTCTTGGCCACTTTCACCGGACAGTGGACAGCCTAAATTGATTTGGAAAGTGAAGACTGCGTCAAAACACGACCATTGCAAACACAAGCAAAAGGCAAGCAGTGCAGAATAACATGCGTCTCAACAGTTGTTGCTTGTTTTGGCAAACCGTCAACAAACACGCAAAGCAGAGGCTGCAAAATACTACACAGGTGCAAGCTTGCCTTATTCTCGCGGCGAAAAGCAGAAACCATAAACGCAACAACAGGCTACATCAAAGTGCCGATCACTCCAAGGGTTCATTCCATTCTTTGTGCTGCTTTACTGCTTGCAGATTTGTTGGTGCCTGCCTTTTTTGGCCTCTTTCCTCACTCATCGGGGTTGTTAGAA